TATAATTTATAATTCCTGGATTAAGAGACTTTCATTCTAATGAAAGAAACAGACATTAAATAACTAATTGAAATTAAAGGCCTCATCTAATTAGAAGGGGAGCAAATATCTGAAAAAGCTTTTTGAGAGAATGACTTTGGTGCTCAGGCTGAAGATTAACTGGAGCAAAGGGATGTTCCTGAAAGGGCCCGGAGCAGCAAATAAGGTTGGCAATTTTGAGAACCTGAAAGTGGACCAGCGTGACACTGTCCAGACTTTCAGGAGAAGGGAAAGGAGGTGGCAACCATTCACTGCAGAGCACACAGAGTAACCCAGCCCCACACCCAGTGTTGCCCATCTCTACTCTGCCCATTGGTTCTTACCAGCCCTTTGTTGGTCTTTCTGCTTGCTTTTGTGAGCCCCTCCTGTTCATTCATCAGGATATTACTACAAGGACTTTTAAAAAAAACACAATCCAAGTCAGATCAGTCTCCAACTGACATCCTTCAATGGCTGCCTGCTGTCCCAGGAGACTAGACATCCTCCTCCCTCATGATGCACAATGGAGTCTCTTCATCCCTTCATCCCAGGAAGGCTGCAGGGTGACATCCTCTCCTAAGACCCTCAGTTTATGTCCCCAAGATAGCTGTGGGTTACACAATAGAATACAACCCACTTCCAATGCAGTCCCATACCCAGGAATGGGAAGCACAAGTAAAAGCAAGCACTCTGAGCCATGGCAGAGCCAAGGTTGGCAGCAAGAATGGAAACAGAACTGAATCAATCAGAATCTTTCTCTTTGGAGCTTGAAATAAGGAATTCCATGGGAATGTCCAAAAGTAGAAAGGGCACCATGATGTCAAGCTAGGGCCATGGCAAAACAAAGCCAAATGAAATCTAGCACTGGGAGGCTACAAATGCAACCCAAACCCCAGCCAGTAGGGAAGTGATAAGAATAGAAATGAAGCAAGGCACAGAGAGGAGAAATGTGATGACGATAGAACCTGAGGCCCAGGAGAAAAATAGGACTTCTCTGGACCAGGACACTTCAGCTACTGGCTACTCCTGCCCTAGGCTGGACAGTACTGCCTCATTCTGGCCCAAGTTGGCCACAAGACCCCTTTGTCTCTTGTCATCCAAAGGGAATTTCCAACCCTGAATCCTCTGTGCTTGAACTAGACTGAGGTTCTCTGCTGCCTGTGTCCATGGTGTTCAAGCAACAGTTCTTGCCAGGATCACCAACCTCTTGCTCTTTACCATCTCCCTTGGCTCTCAGGGTTTATTCACAGCTGATGTTCACTGGGCACCTGTGAGAGAAAAATAAGGGAATGGAATTTACCTCCAGAACAATGGTTGGGAAAGATCATAATCAGAGGCATTTGGGGATTATTTTCTTATCAAATATCAGTTTTAATTGACATGTTCTCCACCCTGGATGTAAAATGGCATTTTCTCAGTGTAGCCCCTAGAGTGATCCTGAAACAAAACGGCTGGAGGAAAGAGATGGGAAAGAGACAGAAAGGGCAGTGGTGAGGTCTGTAACACCTGCTCACAGAGATTATTTATCTACAGGCAGATATCTATAAGTACCTGCTGCCTCACTAAATTTGCATGATCACAGTAGCATATCACACACAAAGAAATGTGCACCTGGCTTCAGAGTCTACACTTTCCTCTATCCTTTCTTTAGACAGAACATTCATACCACACATGAGGAAGAAAGTTCTCACCATGGCACAGAGTTTTTCCCTTCTTGGAGTGGTCTGATGCTTGTGATCATACTTGTTATTATTATGTTCACCTTGTGGGCTCCAATCGCTGTGTCCCACTCCATTCTAGGAATGGGAGCACCTGCATCTTTGCAGCACCCAGGGCCAGCCCTGGACACAGACAGGCGATGATTCCCTGTTGCAGGATCCAAGCTGTTTGAACAGTAGTCAGTCAGCCTATTGGGGTTTTGTCATAACTGGAGCGAGAGAACTCTAGCTGTGATGAAATTATCCAGTGGTGTGGCAAGAACTATTATCTGGTTGTCATTTTCTTTTTCTGCTCATATGATGGAAGTCATCCTTTCCAGGCATCCTCTATGTTGAAATTCATGAAACTATATCCACATGGGGCAAGAAGCACTTCCAGCAAATACTTTCCCAGAATGCCTTGCTACTAGCGGGCCATGTGACCAGTCCCTGCCCACAGACTGAGAGAAAAGTTCTGAGGGTCATTTCTAGGCAGACACAGTCAAACCAATGTGCTGCCTCCACCTCTCTCTTGGTCACCTGTTCCTGAGAGCAGAGCTGTGAGGTGGGAAAGATAGACCCAACACACATGTGACTTGACATGAGCAAGAAATGAAATTTCCTGGCATTCACTTAGAGATTTCAAAGTTTATGTGTTGACACAGCCTAGCTCAACTCATTCCTACTCTGAGTTTCACACTGCCAGATTCTGGGTACGAAACACTGGGAGCTAAGAAAGAGCTCTACTTTTATGGAGTTTGTTGTCTTAACTGGGATACCCGGCAGGCATTCCACTTGTAACGCTCAGGCCACAAAGCTGACAAGTAAAACCATCCCTATATTACCTGCTGGGGGAGGCAAGTGCCTGTGAGGTAAAGAACAGGCTGAAAGGCACAAGGGTAAAGCCCAAGAAATAAAATTTCTGTGAACAAGAGGCACAAATGTGGTCACCAGTTTATCCTGGGTTGTCACAATAACTTATTCTAACTTCTTGACATAAAGTATTTTCAAACACAGAAAAATAGAACAGAATAATGAATTTGTATTCTACTTGTCATGCAGATTTAAATTGTTTTCACTTGACAGTACAGTTGTATTTATCCCACTATTTTTCTTTCCCTGCAGCACTTTTTAAAAATTTATCTAATAACTGGTCTGCAGCCATTGTCCCAGATTAGCTAGCTAGCTAACATCTATCTATCCACACCTTTTTACACTTCATTTGCTCAAATCAGGACCCAAACAAGTTCTAAATAGTCAATCTTGTTGATAGGTCCTTAAATATTGATTATAGATGCAATAGTTTACCCATACACATTTTAAAATTCCATTTATATGCATTAACTTTACAAACACAAAGGAATGCATTTTTAAGTCCCTGTCTGCTCTGATCTCACATAACAGCCAATGAAATTTTGTAAACATCAACTGAAATATCAAGAGCTACCAAATCATGTCAGGTTCACAAAACTGCACAGTAATGTCCAGTTAGCCCTCAGGTAGCAAACACACATGACACGTGGCCCCTGAGGGAAGTCAGAGCTGAGACCCAGATGGCCCCTTCAGAAAAGGCCTTCACAAAGAACTGAGCTACACAGGTCATGTGTCCATCCTGTTTCCTCCAGGCCACATGAGGGTGCCATTCTGAGACATGAGAACTATAGGGATGGTTGTATTCTATCAGATAAAATAGAAAGCAGCCTGTGACTCTAGTCCTTATCATTTATTTCTCACTAGGAATAAGTGGCTTCTGTGAGACAGCAGCTGAGAATGGTATTTGGTTTATGCTTCTGGAAAGGAATGATTGCTGCCTCAGGTTTAAGCCTGTGTCTTTAGCTTAAAGCGCAACACTCTCAACTGTGAGCAAGTGTGACCAAAAGTCTAATTCTGCATGACTAACTCACTGCCAATGTCAGATGATCACCATCTATTGTTAATGTAAAACTGAAGAGTATTTTGAAATCTAATGAAAGAGACAAAAAGTGAAGGACAAATGAGGACAGAGACACCAAGGGTAAGAGTAAGGAAGCATCCATCCATCCATCTACCCATTGTCACAAGAAAGCAAGAAGCCAGAAGGGCTAGGCGGAAATCAAGCAACCGTGAGATAGAAAAGCACGGAGTGAAGATAAACATCTTCTCAAGTCTGATGGTTTACTGGAGAACATGGCTCCAAAAATAAGCCAGTGCGAAAGAAACTTACAGGTAAGCTGCACCCTCAGAGGGATTTACACAGAGAACACTTCCCAGCCAGCTTGCTGAGTCACCCGTGCTGGGCTCGCAGGGTTGTCCGAACAACCAGCCTTTGTTCTGTTTTCCTGCTGTGGTGGAAAAAGACAGGAGCAATCAACACACAGCATATCTGATGTTTTGAAGGGACTCAAATCTCCAGAAACCCCACCAAGACAAAGTGGAAAGGGTGGAGGAGAACACAGAAGGCTGTGGCTGTGTAGTGTGCCAATTAAGTAGGCTTGTTTGGAGTAACTTCACATGGCAGTGCGATCAGAGCATGTAAATGATCAAAAGCAGTTGGGACCCTAACCCATCAGTCACAAACCAACGCTTAAGGCCGGTTCCTTTGAATGCTGTTTTAGTAGTGGTCTCTTACAATACATCTTAAGGAACATTTATACTGTGTTCACTGTGCATTCAACTGTGGCCACTTCAAAGGTTTAGCCAAGTATTTTATGGCCATGGTAAAGGGTTCTTATTGATTTAAATTACAAGCTTGGCTCCCGTCAGCTCCACTTGAGGGCAAAAATGCAATAAAATATCCCACAGCACAAGAGACAGACATATCACATTGAAAATCTTCAGAGATCTTTTTCACTATAATCACTCTCAGTGATATTTATTTATATGGGCAAGGTTATCAGAGAGATTTGTCTACAATCTTTAGGCTATGAGGGTTTGTCTTGGCTTGGGTGTTGGTTTTTTTAAAAAAATCTAGTTTCTGACTGTGGCCAAAAAAAAAAAAGAGGTCATAAGTGCATGTGATATCCCTGGGCTTAGAGGCACCCACCTCTCCCTGGCTCCCGATAGAATAGCTCATTCCAAGAATAGTGACATTGACATACTGGTCATCACAGCTGAGGGATTATGGTTTTCAGTTCTCCAATTATTTGCATATCCAGCAGGCCAGACTCAGATGAATGAGTGGTGTCAAGATGTGAATGACAAGCCTATCAAGGCGATGGAAGGCTGTCTCAGGATAAACTGTCAGGGGGACAAACTTCACTGTGGAGACAGACAAGAACATGCTTTCTATTGGAAGGCTGCAAAATGGAGAGGGATTCGGAAGCTCAACATGCAACGCTACTTACGCTATTTACTAAAGCCTGTGGTGCGCAGCACAAAAGCAGCTGCCTGGTTCTAAGAAAAAATCAGACAGCCAAAGCAGGATAGTTGATCTGCTTCATTCCTGGTTCCTTTCTAGTAATTTACCTGAAACATACTCAAGACAGAGCTAACCCCTGGACATACACAGAAAGTAGCAAATGACTATTACGTATCTGACATTTGAAATAACATGTTTCTGGAGGGTTGGCATTACAAGACTCATTTCACTTCAAAATGTTATTCCTAATGTAATTTTTTAAAATTCATAAGAGGCACTTGCTAGAATTCAGTGTAGCACTAAAGTCACTCAAAAGACAGAGGTCAAATTCATTTCATTTCTTTTATGTTTTCTTCTCTCTGCTAGATGAAATAAATGATTAAGCCTAGAACACTTGGCAGTTCAGCGAATGTGCTCCGTGGCACCATTACAAGATCGATTTTCTCAATACAGGAGTCTTTCTAGGGTGCACATTGCTTAGCTGACATCTGTCGCCGTTGTCATGGCAGCGCTCTCTCCAGCATAGTGAGAGGTCAGGCCTGACAGGGAAGGCCTCGCCAGCTCTACCCCAGTCACTTCAAGGTTAACAGCCAATGGACCAAAGAAATAGGCAATTATAGCACAGTCAATTCCGGTTAAGGAAATATCTGAGAAGTAAATATGTCTGATAAGTGGATGGAAATGAAACAGCCAATGCTATGGATGCAATCCCATAATATCAATACCATGTTGTGGTGTAGTTTGGTTGTTCCGTGTAAAATTTCCATGCTCAAAGAAATCTAACAAGAGGGAGGATAAGCAAAATTCATTATGTTGCCATTAGCCTCTGTGCTTGAGAGAGAGTCAAGCACAGATGGGTAGATAAGCAATAGGAAAGCAAAGCTTCTTCAAGGAAAAGTGCAAAGAAAAATATCCTGGATCTCCACCCCTGTTGGTTTAGCCCCCTGATTTTTCCAGCTGCATATCTGCCTTAAGAAGATCCTAGGCATTTTGAAGAAAAGTGACTTTAAAATCACAATTCTCATTGTTATCTCATATTAATGAAGTTTATTATTTATCAGGATGTAAAACCCTCCTACGACTTACAACACCCTGAAACACATCAAATTGCTCTAAAAAGTTCTAAAATCACCAGTATTTTAGAACTAGCAATTCCCAAAGATATGCATTTCCACTGAAGCATAACCTTTGATAGGCAGAGAAAAGTTATGATTTTAATAGGTATTCGGTGAATAGAATTAGAAAAATGGCAGGTGGAACTAAAATATAAAGATTTTCAATTACAAGTTGCATAGCCCAGAAATTCAGTTACTGACAACATCTGCAGGTAGTGCTTCCTGAAATTCATTACCATGGGCACACTCATATTACACACTCCTGATTAAATCTTGTAGTTAGTATAAAAAGATCTTCGGCTATCAGGCACCTGAAAGAATGGCAATGATTTTTCTTCAGTTTTGAGATTTTTGTTACAAATAAAGAACAAAGGGAAATTAAGAGTATCTGTACATAATATATATAAAGAGCATATTATATATTGTTTATGCAGTATATGTAAGAGTAATTATATAAATGTTTTGCATAGATATTTTATATATAGCTGTACATATGCACATGTACATAATCACCATGGTTACTCATCTCAGATTCTTGTGAGAATGTTCTCAGCTGTGGTCAGTGACTGTTGAGGTCTGCAGTCCATCCTCAGTCACATCAAGCGGTGGAATCTCTCTAAGCAGTGCTTAAGGTGCACTTTGCCAACTTGTTTCCCCAAGTCCCACTTCTAAGCTGAAGTCACCAGTGTCTCCCTTGTGTTTCATGGGTGGAAGCTGCTTGAGCATCTAATGTGACCAGTGACGTGACTCCATTTAGCTTGACGGTCTCTTACAAACCAGTAGCCTCATGAGAAGATTCAGCCACCTTTTAGATGGGTTATGATATGAGGATGCATGAAAGAGTAATCCCCTCAAATGAGCTTCCGTGTAGAGGACTTTGTTGTAAGGACATAATAGCCAATCCTGCAGAGGATAGACAGGAACTGAAGAGGACAGATAGGCTGGCCAAGTGCAAAGTAAAACTGGAATTGGAATAGCAGAAGGCAGGGTTATTCTCTCTACAGATATTTCACCTCTGCCATTCTGTTCTTACTCTCTCTTTACCCCTCTCTTCCAACCAGTTTCCTCCACTATCAACATGGCTTGACTCAGCATGACCTTTCAGATATAGCTCTGTCCTCTTCTTGTTCAGTTTCTCAATGTCCCAACTCCAAATTCCCACAACACTCTGATCAGCTGCGTCCAGGTAATGAATTGCTTCTCTCAAGGTCAAGTGTTCACTTGCACTTAATCAGTTGTGGTGGGAGTGAGAGCAGGCAAGGGGCTATGAGCAAAGGTATGCAGTATAAATATGACTGCCCAGGTCCTACCTTCACAATGGCAAGATAATATTAAAAGCACATGCCTTCTATAAGGAACAGATATGACACATGAAATAAAAAATCTCCAGATACCCCAAAGCTTTATAGATAAGCAAGAATTCTTAAACAAAATGATGCAGAGATGGTTGTTCAGTAATATAATCATGAATTTGAGTTACTTGCAGTATTTTCAGTCATCTCGGTTGATATAAAATAACCACCTCTGCAAAAAAATAAAAAACAAAACAAAACATATATGAACTCCACCTTCTTAATTACAAGGGGAAAATGTGCTCAGAAAAATAAAATGCCTTGCTGTCCACCCTAGGCCTTTGCCAGCTTTGCATCCTATGCTCCTGCACCCTGCATTTGCCCTGCACAGCAGCTAAACTGAGCTGCTGCCTATTCCCTATGCAAGCTGCTTCCCCTTCCTTTTCTCTATGCCACCTCCACACAAAGTTCTGCCACTCTATCCTCTCTCTCTAGGCCACGCAATCGTGAATTGTGATGAACACCTGGAGGCTTTCAAAGAATAAGCAGGAGGGAATGAAAGGCCTCTGAAAGTGGGGTGTTTTCTCAAGCAGATGGCTTACATGGACACTGGATGCCATTTGTTAAGAGAAAGCATGCAGGGTCTGTCCTCGAGGGCCAACTCAGATGCCAGCTCCCACATAAAGACTTTCCTTGACTACCCAGACGAAAAACCAGTAATTCCTCCTCAGAGGATGCATGTATTGTCTCTATCACTGTTTCCCAAATGTGAGAACGTGTGGCTCCTTGAAATGACAAGCCCACAGGCCCAATCTGAAAATCAATGCATCAGAAGTTAGGTCCTGCCACTTGAGAGGACACCTGAGCTACTTTTAAGTCATAAAATCTGGTCCTGGAATCACATGACAGTTCTAAAATAGTAATCTGACATCCATGTGATCCAGCATATTCCTCTATTTGCATTTAGATGATTGTAAAAATAAAGGCACAAATCATCACCATCATTAAAACTCAATTGTAATACACCGTTCAGGACCCAGGATGCCTGGCATGCCCAGAGGGCTCTAATGCCACATGGGCCCGAGTGGAATTAACCAGATGCCACCTCCACCATTCTGAATTGACTGTGAAGCTCTGACTTATGGAACACTGAATACCTTCTACAGCTTGGTAAATTATATATCTTCTGTTTACACTTGATCAAAGCCATAAATCCCAGGCTTGTTTGGAATAGTGATAGATTTCCAACTTGTTCACCTGTACACCTTGTCAAAACACCCCTCCTGGTCTGGCACAGAACCTGTGATGCTAGACTCACCTTCTGATCAGGAATGCCTATCAGTTGCTAAAAGAAGAGTGCAGACAACTACTTTCTATGCTCAAATATGGTAGAAAAAATATAGTGCTGACTCCATTTGAGGATTTTCTGTTATGTGTCATCTCTTGCCAAAACTAAGGATTACTATGGCAGAGATAGAGATGAATTTTTATCCTTTGTCTTAATTATTCTTCTCTGAGTGATTTTTCCAGATTTGTGCAGTGGCTATCTCTATCATCCTTTATTCAATATGTAAAATACCAAGAACGGTGCCAAGCATCTGAGAATATAGATATCTCATAGTCTAATGAAAGAGCAAGATATATAAATAGGCAAGGCAATGGAATAAATTCTACAAACAAGGTACCTACTAAAAGCAATGTAAGAGAGGAATATTATTAGCATTCACTTAGGGTTTCAGGAGAGCATTATAGAAAAGAATCGTTTAAGTTTATTGTAGTAATTGTACATCACTGCATAGCAAGTTACCCCAAAACACAGCTGCTTAAAACAACATACTTTTTCCTGACAATTTCTGTGGACCAAGAAGTTAAGGAGTAGTTTAAAATTCCTCATGATGGTGCACATGACTCTTGGAAAGATGCCTCTATTCTTCTCATGTGGACTCCTCCACTGGGCTGCTCGAGCATACTCAGCTCAGCTGGCTTTCCTCAGGGTAAACTGAAAAAAGTTGGGAGGAGGTGGGAGAAAGGGAGAGAGAAGACAGTGTCTTTATTATCCTAATCTTGGACATCCTGCTCCTTCATTTTCCATATATTCAGAACTAAAAGTTACTAAGCACAGACTACACTTAAGAAGATGGCAATTAGGTCCCATATTTTGAAGGGAAAAGTATCAAAAACTTGGGGCATCTTGTGAAATCACCACAAATGTTGAAGAATGAATAGGAGCTATTTGCAGAGAAGTTGAAGGAAGCCCACAGAAGACCACAGAAGGTGTGGAAAAACAGAAGTTCCAAGAAAAGTGAGGGGCTCATCACTGGTTTTCAAACCCATCTTACAAGGAAACACAGGAGGAAAAATAATTAGAAATAGTTCAGCAATGGTGGAAGCTGTGTGCAGGAAGAAGGGAAGGGAGTCCCACCCCAGGGCAGCCTTTACAATAATTGCCAAGAGCCTCTAGAACTTCACAGGGTTGTCTGAAAACCCCAAATGTAGTATGCTATTGCAGCAGCCGTAGTCCTTACCTATACTACAAGGTATATTCTCTGTTAATCTTTGTTTTCAGGTAACAAACTGTGCTCTTTTCCTATCCAAATAAAAAACAGACAAAATTTTTATTAAGAAGAGACTAGTGATCATGTTACAATGTAAGAAAATCTCAACTTACCAATGGGTTATTTTCCAAGAGTTCACTTCTAAGAGGGTTCTTTAAACTTTGTGTATCAGTTATCAATGGTCACCAAGATACTGTGCAACAAGCCATCCCATAACAATACGACATAAAACAGCTTCCATTTATTCTCGTATATCTGCACATAGACTGGAGAGGAGTCACATAAGCTGGTACTCCTCTCCACATTTCTGCTTCAAATTGTAGGTCAGCTTTAGAAGTAGTGGCTCCTCTGGAAATCTTGATTCATGGAGATAGAAAAAGCACAAAAGCCACAAGAGAGCAAATAAAGAAAGAAAAATCCTCACAAGACCTAGGGTCAGGATGGTGTACTTTTGCCTGTGTGTGGTTGGCCAAAACAAATTTCACAGATGAGCTCAAAGGGAAGGGGTAGGAAAATATACTATGTCTACAGGAGGGTAGAGTGAGGGGGTAAAGACTTGGAGCTAGTAATTCAATCTGCTACATTCTTAATGCATTTTCCATACCCAAAAAAATTTTAAATTGGAACTGGGTACTATATTCACTCATCAAAACCAATTTAAAGCAGACCAGGGACTTAGCTCAATGGTTCTACTGCCTGCCTCACAAGCACAAGGTCCCAAGTTCAATCCCCGGTACCAAAAAACAAAAAACAAAAAAACATAAAACAATTTAAAGCAAAGAGAAATAACAACACTGGTCTAGAATCAAGTAGCTATATGATACTGGCACACATGGCTTTCCTAAGATAGATTTCTCAAGGCAGTATTTTGTCTTCCCAACTCACTTTCTTCACCCTCTTTCAACAATGTTCATATCTCTCTCTAAGTGCTCTGCATCCAAGTGGTTGCTCTACCCCTTCACCTCTATGTCTTACTCATCCCTCGCATCCCTCCCCTGAATTATGTCTGCTCCTAAATTTAGAACTTCAATAGAGACCCTCCCAGCTGGCTGCCAAAAGGAAAACCAATTCATACTCATTAATAAATAAATGACCTATTACTCCTTAATACTCCCGAAGACATCTGTCTTTTTAAAGGAGATTGTCCCATGGCCTAGGGATGCTCTTACTGCTAACATTCAGATAGTAAATATGTGGGTAAAATTTTAGTCTGAGATATTTGCAGAGAAGGGGAATGTGTCCCAGGTAGGACTGCCAGTTACTCCCATTTTGTGAGGCAATGTCATTTATACATGTGGAGATAGCTGCATTGACTTTATTACTCTCTGTTCCAATATTTTCTTTCCTTCTCTGTGGTTCTGTAGGGAATGGAACTCACCAGGAGAAGATAAATGTCTGAGTTATGATTTACATTTCATTAAAGGACAAGTGTTGTTTCCCATTTTGGAATTTACTCCCTAGACCAAATCTTTAAAGATGTTCTGCTTTTTCTTTCAACATTAAAAATGACATATTTCAAAATGAAACATCTCTACTTTGATTTAAGGGGAACTTAATGATTTGGTTCTTGTTTTGGGTTTTTATATGAATATCTTTATTTTATACAAAATTATTATCTTGAGAACCCTGTTATTAATCATATTTGATAATGTTTACTTTTAAAGACAGCTCATAAAGAAAGACTCAAGCAGTAAATTTTAGTGTACCACTTTTCTACCCTGCACACATGTATCTATACAAACAAAGGGAAGAAGAAATTTCAGGATTGGTAATACCATGTAAATGACTAATCTGTATAATTTAGACCCCCAAAAAATACAGTTTTATTGATCCTAAAGAGTGACTTTATACATAGTTCCTCATTTTGGCTGATGTTTGCATACCAAAACTAGAATGTCTACATACATATGACAATATTCATCCTCATCTGTAGATTCTCTTAGCCATGCGGCTGAATCTGTTCTTCATCAATTCAGATTTTTTAGTTCCTTTTGACCATTGTTGCTAGCAATGTATCTTGGACCAAAATTCTGAAAGGATCAATAGAATGAAAGATATTCCTTTCCTATTTGTTAGCAAAGCTACTTTTGGGTAAATATAATGGAGAAAGTTTTAAACCTGTCCATAGCAGATATTTAATGAGACTATTCATGGCAATGTAACTTGTAAAATAACAACAAACAAATAAACAAAAATGGAGATATCCAGATGGTCATCAACAAGAAAATTGTAAGTTTTAAAGTATACAACAGAATAACAAATAGTAATAGAAATGAACAAATTAAGTTGGTTACAGATATTAACTTGAACAAATCTTACAAATATAATATTAGATAGGAAAAAAAGCAAGATATAGAAGAATATATGAATGGAATTCTACTTACATAATGGCTCAGACACATGCAAATCTTGTTTTATAAAAGCAATAGAATGATATGCACAAAATCATGATGGTGGCTACCTTTGGGAGTAAGAAGAATATTACAGTCTCAAGGGTAGCTGTTATATATTTCGTAATTTGGATGAGTAGATATATAAATCTTTTATTGCAAAATTTTACAACTCACATACATTATAATAATATCACTACCTTGCCCAGTGTCCCAGGCCCACTTCTCTCAGGAAGCTGCCTGCCCAAGTTTCTCGTCTCTAAAGCGCCAGGCCACCATTCTGAGGGTACTTCTTATTAGGGATGTGCAGTAGCATTAGGTCATAAGGTACTCTGCCTCTATTGGCATTTTTGTTTGCTTTCTAAATATAAGTGTGCAACATCACATCAATGATGTGGATGCCTCTTTTCACAAACATTACTCTACCTACCACCTCACACACAGGAGGAGACTTCTCGATCCCTGTGTGGCACAGAAGTTGGCAATCCTGTTGCTTCCTGTTGCAGTCACTCCGGTGCTTGACAGCATCCCACATCCTGCTCCCTTGAGGCTGTTTTTCTGCTGCTTTACCAGGGTTGCCTCACTCACTACATTTCCCTCTGTAAACCATCCACAAGTTCTTCTGGAAGTGGAGAGCTATAAATCTTAAATTTAGAAAGTAGTAAGGAAATGGCACCTTTGGGATTAAGACCCAAGTCTTCTGATTACAGGTTCCATAACAGAACATCCTCTAAATGGCCTTTAAATCCATACATGGTGTTCACTATGCACCAACACACAACACGAGGTCTGCGGGGAGAAAGCCGAGCAGTTGAAAGCTCCAAGGGCAGGGCAGGGCAGGGCAAGGCAGAGCAGGGCAGGGAAGGGAAGGGAAGGGAAGGGCAGGACAGCCATGGCCACCCTGGGAGGCTAGTCCTCTGCGAAGGCCATGAATGCTGGCCACCAGCCCCTCTCTGCAGCACCCCCACCACAGCTTTTCTTTGCTTGCTTGCTTTATTTATTTCCAAGACTTAGTGGGGTGAGAGAGAAAAGAGAGGAAGAAAAGGAAGTGATTTTTCTTCCTAATAGGTTTGCTCTTCTTGCTCTGGGTGGAATCAATGCAAGTGGGATTGAACTCACTCCTAATATCCCCTTCCCTGCAACTGCTTCCTCCCATTGTAAATAATTCAAGCAAAATAAAGTAATCATGTGCTGGTAATTACCACTGCCACAGCCTCTTCCCCCCAAAACATGAATGAGTCCTGTGGGCCTCCCTTCATCCTTGCTTAAGGCTTTGGCCTCACTGAGTTGGTGGCCAGGTGAGGCCAGGACAGTATGTGGGACCTGGCAGAGATGGCAGGAAGGCAGGTCCATTGCTGCTTCTAAGCAGAAGGACATGAAATGAGCCACTGAGCCTTTGTGGAAATAGCTGGCCCTCTATTCAGGGGCCTGGAAGCAATGCAAATTTTAAATGGCTGCCTAAACCAAATTCAACTTTTTCATTCCAATTTCTATATTGCTGTCTTTGCATATGGAATAAAGCTTTTATGACCAGATCTAAAGCACGCCGGTGCACCTTTCCTCCCATCCACGCCTCTCATATAATTTTTATTTAGTGGCTTTATTTCTTCATGTAAATGCCTTGCTCACCTGTGCAGTCCACATTAGCAGGGATTTTAGGAAAGAGGCAAATGGTTGTTTTGCTTCAATACATCAATAAAAGACAGACAGATATGGCACAAGTACAACATCCTCAATTCTGCAGAAGGAAGTGGTGGCAACTTGTGGGCCGGTGGGGGTGCTCTCCGAGCAAAACCATGTATGTAAGCAAGGAGAGGCACAGAGCTGTGTGGTAGAAAGCATCTCCTTTGGGTGCTGGTAATTTATGGGTAGATCTCTGCTTAGTAATACTGTAGCTCTTTGCAGAAAGATTCTCTGCAGACCCATCATCTTTGTGGAGAATTAAAGACTCTGTAAACAACAATTTTGAAAGCAGCATGGACAGAATTGTTATGACATATCTGGCCTTTAAGGTACAGGAAGAGACTGAACTCATAAACACCTATACAAAATCCTGTTCCCCCTTCTTCTCTCACTCATGCATCTGAAGCATGTGGCAGGAGGCCACAAGAGTAGAGGGAAGAGGCCTTAAAGCCAAAGGCCTCACCAGGCTGCCCCAGCAGCATGAAAGATGTGAGCCCCCAGTCCGACTCTTTCTATGTGTGGGGTCAATGGTGAGAGAGGAAAGAATCTAAAATCTCGCTGGTCTGTTACCAAAGCCACTAGTTAAATGTGGCTGTTTATACTTAAATTTAAAATTAGGAAGGGAAGGGAAGGGAAGGGAAGGGAAGGGAAGGGAAGGGAAGCGAAGGGAAGAGACCCAAAGTCACTTCAACAAGGGGAATTCTTCAGATGAATAATTGTCCATGGGAAATAGGTACAAGAGCCAGGGTTCTAAAAACTCTGATTCTACCTTAATGAGCCATAAGATACAGTGACAAATTTTCAAATTTTTAGTAAATGTACCTCTCAATTGGATGAACGTGTCTCAGTTGAGTGAATTTTGCCCATCTATATGTTGGTTTTAATTGCTGACAGGAAACTTTTTAGATAGAGGAGAAAGAGCATGTTCTGGGGGAATTTTTTATATTCTAAATCAAGAG